GGTTTTACTCTTTGGCAGAAAACTGATGTTAAATGTTGGTAGATTTTACGCCATCTTAAAGACCTTATCTGCTTTTGTGTTCTAAATGAAAGTTGTAGGGCTATCTCTTAGATTTTACGCCATCTTAAAGACATTATTTGCCAATATGGTCTTCCGCAAAGCTGTAGAAATTTGAGTTAGCTATCATTTAGTTTTTGAATCTCATTAAAAACATGTCTGTAGCTCCAATTATCTATTAAATACTGAAGTCTGGTCGGTTACAAGTTCTCGATTTTTTACTGCTACTCAGTTTTGAATGTTTGATGATTTATTTCCTAGTAAACGACCTTATTTGCTTTCTGTGTCTTCATAAGAATTGTAGATACATGTGTTAGGATTTTAGTGCAACATGAATCATATTCATCCGAGTTTTGTACTGAAAGTTATGTTGATTTCAAAAACGCTGCCCGGTTTAAGTTTTTTAAAAAAATGTACATAGTATTTTTAGAAATGGGATTTCCTTGATTAAATGATTATGTGAGCTTAGTTGGACTAAGTGATTGTTATGATTAGTTTTTCATGTGTTGCATAGTCATTTATAGGACTATTTTAATAAATGTAGGTGCTTGCCGAGCCGAGCTCGCAGCCTACCCGTTATTGTTGTGCTTTCGCTTGTTATCGTTCAGGTGGGTTTACTTATAAAATTTGCTATGCCATATGTATTATAATTAATGTTGGGTTGGTATGATCTAAGTATGCATGTAAACCATGTAGCCTATCGGCGTGAGCCGATTCGGCCGTCGGTACGGTTGTTCCCGTCGATGTAATACGGTTACCCTTACGAGGTAAGTCCCTTAAGACCTAATGAAAGGCCGTGTCCGTAGCGTGGCACGTACCCCCACCGTTAGGGTAATGAATCCCCTTTTCATGGCTAATGTAACGCCCAGTTCGATTTATAGAATTTCTCAGATTATTCTATTTATCGAATCTTAATTTTGAGATTATATTTTATATTATTATATGGATACTGTGATTATATATCTCGTTCGATTTTATTTTATCAATCGTCGTTTAAATTTTTGGTTTAATCGCGTAAGCCGAATTGTTGTTCGTTTGAATTCCCGTGGAGAATAGTAGGAAAATGATTTAAAATGCCGATGCCGAACTCCCGTCATTTTGTTCGATTACTTTAACTGAGTTCGTATTTTCCCAAAGACGGTAAACATTTCCGAACCCTCTCGTTATTGCGGTTGTTCTCGTATATCACATGTTATATATAAGTATCGTTCGTATTACCGAATCCTTGTTTGAAGTTGGATTTTTTTGATTGGTACATGCATGATTTAATGCTCTGTTGTGCTGTAATTATGACCATTAGAAACCCATAATTTGTTGTTGAGGCCTTCTGATGAAATGTAGTATCTTCTGTTGGCTTTCTCGGGGTTTTTGAATTTTGATAATTCAAATTATATCGAGTGAGTTATGATTTTTATAAAACGAGTGTGCAAGCAGTTTTCGAAAATCTGGCAGCATGTATTAATAAATGTTTGACCTTTTTATGGTACTTAAATGTGCTCAAATGAGTTTGTGATCTTCATGAATGTTGTAGGTCTATTAATTAGCTTTCTAATGAGATAAGATTCATTCTGAGATGATATATGTAGCTCGAGTTTTGATAATTTTAATGTAGATATGCATGAAGTAGGATTTATACTTTGACAGAATTTGATGTTTGAATGTTAGCTATTTTTACACTACCTTAATGACCTTATTTACTTTCATTTTCTTCATAGAAATTGTAGATGCATGTCTTATGATTCTAGTGCAACTTGAATCATTTTCATCTGAGTTTTGTACAGAAAGTTATGTTGATTTTAAAAACGCTGCACGGGTCAAGTTTTGAAAAACGTATGTGGTGTTTTCGGAAATGGGATTTCTTTGATTAAATGCTTATGTGAGCTTAGTTGGATTAAGTGATTGTTATGATTGGTTGGTCATGTGTTGAATAGTCATTTATAGGACTATTTTAATATATGTAGGTGTTTGACGAGCTGAGCTGATTCGGCCGTCGGTACGATTGTCCCCGTCGATGTAATACGGTTACCCTTGCGAGGTAAGTCTCGGTAAGACCTAATGAAAGGCCGTGTCTTGTTGTATGGCACGTACCCCCATGAGTTAGGGTAATGAATCCCCTTTTCGTGGCTAATGAAAGATGTGTACACGTGGGTAATATGTTGTGATGTGATTAGGAGACGTGACAGAATAACTGATTTATGTTCATGCTATAACCATACCTTCTTTACATTATTTATTAATGTGATATACGTGCATAGTGGTGAGCACGCATTTTCATGTTGTGCTCATCCCCACCTACTCTTCACGGATGCAGGTTAAGCAGGAGCCGAGTGACGAGGAAGGACGAGTGGGTCGGTCTTATGATTATGATTATTTATGCTTCCGCATATGAATAAATGTGTTAGTGTTTGGAACTTTGTTTTGGGTTAAGACATGAAAACTGTTTTAAAAACTCCTGTTTGAGTATGTTAATTTTTGGGATGTTTTGATGAACCTAATGTGAATTGGTCATAATGTGTTTGGTTATTTCATGCCTTCGTTTACGAGCTGAATAACTTATGTTGAAAATCAGGGTAATGAAACCTTGTGAAAAATCCGGGTAATGAAATCCCGTGGGCCCAGATATACTTGGGTTAAGAAAAACGTTGATTAATACCCATGGAATTTCGAAAATGATCTCGAAAAATTAATATTGGTTTTGGAAAGTCCGGAATTTCTTTATAATTAAAGTGGGGTGTTACAGTTTGGTATCAGAGTCTGCACGTCGTGCTGAGAGACGTGAGGCCAACTGCAGTGGCCGATCGTTGACTCGCATGAGAACTGCTGCCGCCATCACCGAACGCACGAACTCCCCAGTTCAGTGTCTACGGCCAAACCTTGACCTTG